GATCGAGGGTGGAAAAATATCGCGCTCCGGCGAGGCTGTCGAAGGTGTCGTCGATGCGGGGTATGGGGAAGGCATCGCCGAGCGTGACTGCATTTAGTTTACGGTAATCGACGCAGAACCGGGTTGACCCATCCTTTTTCGTTACTAGTACCACTGGGGCTGACCAGGGGCTCGCCGAGGGCTGAATTATGTTATCGCGAAGCATGTCCCCAACCGCCTCCTTGATCTGGGTGCGTTCGGGTGCGCCCACTCGGTACGCAGGGAGTTTGATGGGTCGGGCTGCACCGGTGTCAATTTGGTGCTTAACAAGGTCGGTCCGACCCACGTCCGAGTCGTGTTCGCTGAACACGTCGGCATACTCCCGCAGTAACTCGCGCAGCCGATCGGCCTCTCCCTTAGGTAAGTCCGCCCATGGTACATGTAACGCGTCGAGCAGGGGAACGACCTCGGCTCGGGGAGTCGGGCCGACTCGCCAGGCCAGGTCCTGCTCACCCTCAGGACGACCGGGGTCCTCAGCCCAGAGTGCGAACACCGAGTCGTTAGAGTGGCGTGCGTGCAGGGGGTGTACTGTGGCTATCGGGGTGCGCCGTCGCAGTATCGCTGGGGTATTGTGGGGGTTAAACATCCGCATAAACAATCGGTCCCCATCTGCGTTTACCAACGTGGCGGATCCCACAACCCCATACCGTTTTGCCAACTCCGGGTGAGGAGTTAGCATTACCTCCCCTGATGGTCGGAGCGCGGGGTCGGTGGGGGATGTTGCCACCGGCACCAGCATCTCGGTGAGCGGGCCGATGGTGACTGCCGTCGCCAGGATAGCGGCTACAGGTGCAAAGCGGCGGCGGGTTGGTTCTCGTCCCAGGAACGGTATCCGCTCGCCGTTGCTCTCCATGGTGGAGCATCGCTGGCGGGGTTGCACGTTGAGTCCCAACCGTTCTAGGAGGTCGGTGCCTGCGATACACTCGTGACACAACGCACTCGACACGTAGAACTCCTGCGTGCACACCTGGCTGCCTATGCGGACTTCTAGGGTGGCTCTCCCCAGCAGCCCCATTCCGGCTCCGCTCGCAGTGTGCAGCGCGCGGTCCGGGGCCTGCAGGTGACGCACGTCGACCCCGATCGCGCTGCAGTGCGCTGCGCTCACGAGCGAGGCCACCGCCCCCGTGTCCAGCAGGATTCGGGTACGCACTCCGTTTACCTCCCCTTCCACCAGCGACGTGGCCCCCGTGATCCCCGCCACCAGCTCCCGCAGCCAGTCGCCGGGAGTCACCGTTTCTGTGGGCGTTGTTGCTGGAACCTGTGTGGAGATCACTCGCTCGCCATTATTCTCACAGCTTGTTTGTGTCGGGGCTACGTCGATTTCACCCCCCGGTGGTCCCCTCTCTAGGGGGGCCTTAGTGTTTGACCTTAGCTCTTGTCTAGCTCGGGCGACCTGAGGACAGTCCCTCACTAGATGCCCTCGGCGATCGCACATATAACATGCCCGGGGAGGGGTGGCGGCTCCGTAGTGGGCTCTCTGCCCACTCCCTCCTCCCCCAGTGCGCTGCTGCTCATACTCTGCTTCTAGTCGCGCTATCCTTCCAGTTAGCCCTCCTACCGTGGAGTCTAGTTCCCCCATCTCGGATCGGATGGTCTCAACGGAGGATTGCAGTTGGGTCATATTTGTATTCGTTTCCTCGCGTACCTGGGTTACCTGGCCGGAGACATCCTTTATACCCGTTTGTATACCGGCAACCCATCCCGGGGTTGTCTCGCGGGACACTGGAGGCTCTCTTTCCCGGCCCCTTACCGTCCTCGCGAGCTCCTGTTCCTCCTCCTCGTCTTCCGAGAGCAGGCTCGCAATGACGCGCTCTCGTCCCAGCCCCCGGAGCTGCACGCGTTCGCTGTGAATTCTTTCACACTTACGTGCGCGCTCGACAAGGGCGTTAAAGGGAAGACGTGGGCAGCTCATGTCTGGCTGCCACCACGCCGTGCGAGACAGGTACCGCTGGATTTTCTCGGCGGCCAGTTCCTCAATAACATCAGTTGCGTACCCCGGGCGTGCGATCTTTGTTAACTCGCGCACATCCTCGGCGTAATCACGTAGATCTTCGCCAGGTTGGCGACGGCGCGCCTCTAAGGCCGATTTTGCTTCCTCCTCGTCACGCGTGCCGAAACGCTGATCGAGTCGGCGCATCAGCTCCTCTAGCTGTGTCTGTGCGCTCGCGGGTAACGCTTCTACAAAATCGGCTGCCCGCCCATCAAGATTCATATTAAGTTGACGTACTGCCTGCGCGTCCGTCCATCCATTAATTTCCTTGGCCCCTAAGAGATTGCGGGCGAATGCCTTCCACGAAGGGGCCCCCCGGCCGGTAAATATTAGTCTTATTTTAGCGTGAGGTAACGCGGGGGTCCGTACCGCTTCCGACACCAATTTGTGGGGGCCGTTGGCCCCCGGGGTCCCTCCCGCCTGCATCCCCTATTCCGTTTACGTTACCCCACCTCCCTATTACCCGCTACGGTTTCGCCGGCATTCGAATGCGACGCCCCTACTGTTACAGCCTCGCGCCGCGCTCCCACGCTGCGAGCATACGTGCGCACATCATCGTCAATCAAACGCCGTGCTCGCAGTATAGCCCTGTGCGGCACGTTACCAATGCGCATCCGTATCCGACATGTAACGAACGTATGCACACACACACACACGCCGCTCCGTGCACTCCAACTCCACACCAACTACGCAAGTTATGATCGCGCACCTGTATCACACACGGAGTGAACACACGCGACACCCACTCTTGCGCCGCTCTGCGCAGCGCTCGCCGTCTGCTGGCCGCTTGCGTTATGATCGCGCACCTGGGGTACGCCTATTACGCACGCCGCGAGCTTACGCACACACAGTACCACACGCGTTCCCACACGCAACCCGCGCGCTCAGCTCCGCGCAGCGCTCACTCACGTGGCGAACCACGGTGCACACAGCGCACCCACACGCTCACACCGCACGACAAGATCACGCGAGACCACGCTTCGCTATTAATGATTTATTATATGCTACCTGCGAATTGATGTGTAATCAGTGAGTCGACGAGGCTGGCCTATTCCACTAAACCTGTACCTATTCCCTATTTATCGGCTTACGATACCCTACTTCACCTCCCCACTCACTGTTTGGTGCCCGCGGAGGTTCGCTGCTCTCTGCGCTAACAGCGTACCTCGATGCGTCGCACGGACGTCCGGGTCGCTGGCTGGAAGTCCTGCTGGTCCGCTGGCCTGGAGAGAAGGGCGCTATTTTCCCTCTGCGCCCCTCTATTTATCCTCCCTACCTCCAAAGGGGATGCTGCGCTGAACAATGGGCTCGTGCACCCCAAGCCCGCGCACGGCAGTCCCCAGGCGCTGTTGATATGCTAATCAGTGTGCTGCGTGCAAGGCGTAAATCCTAATTAATCCCTTACCCTCCCTAACAATAGGGCCTGCGCGCTCAAGCGCAATTATCCCAACCCTCCATGACTATGCGCAACAGCCCCTGTGACCCCGCTATTCATGCTGTCTCGTGCCTCCCGTGCTTGCCCCGTCGACTCGTGGGGGTGTGTGTGGGGGGAAATGCGCCTCAACCGCGGTGGCCGAATGCCCCACGCCGCGACCACACCATATTAAGGCCGGCAGCAGCGCCGCGGTACCACGTAGCACGGGGGAGGTCATCCAATTCCCTGATCGCCGGAAACCGTGAGAATTAATCCCGATAAGGGTCTCTCGGATAAAAACCGGTCGATCAGGTAACCTTCCCTTCCAGCTCTATGGGGGGGGGGGGGGGGATGCGTGCGGGTGTGTGCTTATGTGGGGCGGGTGATGGGGGCAGTGCGGTGGGGGAAGCCGGGCGGCTCCCTGGCTCGGCAGAGCGGCCCCGTCGCTGTGGCACCACATAAGTTTTGCGCACTCCTCTAGAAACTTGTTAACCGCGAACAGTAAGTGCACCATCACAGTGTAGACCTGCTCGCGTTGCAGCATTTACACTCACACACGTGCCACACGGAATAACCTTTTACCAGTTGGTGAAAAGTAGCGATTACCTATGTCAGTGGGGAGCGTGCATTTAGTTTGACTAAGACACATGTGACGTCCCTCCCTAATGTGTGTTTGCTTTGCAGTGGAGTGCATGCAGTGCTGCAATGACTCCAACACCTACGACACATGCCTGGACATCGCACTCTATATTAATGTAAGCAATGAGAAAACCATTTCTTAACAGTTATACATGTACATACGGTGCGAAGGAGGTTCAACATGCACACATCAACAACAACCGCCATTCGCCACTAAATGGCGATGATGTCACCATGGCACTTGTGCTAGGCTGAGTGCACTTTAAGGCCATGTGAAGTGTCGAACGCCTGCTGGCAGGTCACGGGACAGACCCAGGTGCCATGGATTGACTGAATGAGATGACTGGCTGATGTACTATCTGTGCCCCCTTCTGTGCCAACATACATCACGCAGACACATCGATCAGCCACTTAACATCCAAACACACTGCCAGTAGCGTGCATCATCTCGTTTATTGCGGTCGTACGATTTAATACAAGATGCGGATTTTCGGAGTTGCCGTCACAATACAATGTTTATGGAATGCTTCTTAAGGGTCTTCATTTGCCTTTCACTCTGTTGGGCAACAGAACTCATCGCATCTGGTGGAGGCGTTTGGGGAGTTTTTCAACGAGGAGATTCTGGATGAATACACCTGTGCAAGGTGAGCGGGCCGTCGTGTTTCGACACCCTGCAAACATTTGTCGCTTCAAAAGTCTGCAGATTAAATATATATCTCACGATAATATAAACAGAAGAATATTAATTATGATAAATAGTTTAGAACATAATATTAGTTTTACTAAAAAGTATTTTATAAATAATAATAAAAATTACTAAAATAATAGTAAAGAAAAAATTACAAGAAATGTCGTTTAAAAGTTGCCCTCATCGGTTGGGGAACGCGTGCAATGTCTGGCGTTGTTGTTGTCGTGCAGGTGCTGCTGCAAGGGGGAAGCGACGAAGACGATGGCTCTCCACCGCCTGCCCAACGTCCTCACCGTCTCCATCAAGCGGTACAACCTCTACGGCGTCAAGATCAACCGGGTAACGATTCTGCCCCTCCACATCGTTCGAATTAAATTACTTAATGACAGCCCTTTGTCAGTTCAACGCGGGAAAAAATGCCTCTCCATGTTGGAATAGGTCCGACAGATAGACTCGCCCCCCGTCATGTGACTGTAGAATTTCCACCACTTGCTCAGGGCTATGAACAGGAGATGAGCACCGTCTTCAACGCTCAAATTAGCGAGACATCACGACATCACTTTGACGTGTAACTGAGATGGTGCCCATCTCTGCTGCTCACCCCACCACCCCTGCCGTTTCCTCTCCTAACATTTGTCTCTGTGCACTGCCTCCCCCTCCTGTGCGCTGCCTGTAGAACATCACCTACCCGGAGCACCTGGACATGCAACCCTTCACCTCAACATCTCAGGGCGAGCCCGCGATCTACTCCCTGTACTCGGTGCTGGTGCACAAGGGAGCCGACTCAAACAGCGGCCATTATTATTGCTACAATAAGGTAATTCCATTCGTTACCATCAAACAATAACAACGCACATCTGCAATGCGCCCATAATGTTACAAATTTCTAATAGGGAGGAATAAATAAAACAGTCTTGCAACTAAATTTTTACTTAAAACTTTCGTGACTGCAGGAAATCATATTCTTTGGTTTTGTAAACATTGTAACCAAGTGTAGCTTTGTTTTAACGGTGCACAGATCAGCGATGGAAAATGGTGCCGGATGAACGACTCCATCATGCGGCTCGTCGACACCAAGGCTGCGATGAGTGAGCAGGCCTACATGCTCTTCTATATTCGGTAAGTCGCCTTCTCTCCCCTCCACTTTGACCTCCACTTACAACCGTCCCCCAGACAAGCTCACTGCACAGATATTGTCTTACGCGAGCAGCAGCAGTCTCCTTTCTAGGCAGTTGAGTTGTTCCGACTAATTTGGAGCTTAGCGGCTCGATGAGTGTCCGGCCAAACAGCTCAGCGGTGGAGCGAGCGGTGATGTTAACCGCAGTTTGCGATGTGTGGTGCGGGCATTCAGGTCCCCAGAATTGAATGCGCAACCAACAGACAGCTACCGCCCGCTGGAGCACGTCAAGGCGACGTCTAAGTTGTGCATCAAACGTTCCCACTCGGCGATGGAGACCCAGGACCTCGTCACTGAACAGCAGCTCTCTTCACCGGCACGCAAGGTAAAGGATGGTTTTGAAACGTTACCCCACGTGCGTGGAACTGGGAGAATGTACACCCTGGCAGTGCATAATTTTACATTACAGGAATGGTGAAGTACAGCAATCTTCTTGTTAATACTTTAGACCAGTTTTGTTTCATTCACTCAATGTCGAGCGGTTTGGACTTGAGCGCCCTCATCTTGTTTATCTGCAGAAACTCAAGATGGCGAACCACCCCAACGGGAACAACTGCAAGGGCGACAGCAAAAACAGCGGCAGCAGCAGCTGCTACCGGCAACGCCAGGCACGCAACAGCCGTGGCCGCCGCCGCTAGTCCCAGAGCATCCGCCACCACCACCACCCCGATCTCCAAGCAGCCAGTGCCAGTCCAACAGCAACCACCGCCACCGCCAGTTCCGCAGCAGCCATCGCCAGTCCCACAGCAGCCGCCGCCACCACTCTCATCTGACAGCAGCCGAAGCCAGTCCAACAGAAACCACTGCCATCGCCAGATCCACAGCAGCCACCGCTTGTCTTGGAGAAGCTGCCATCAGCACCACAGCAGCTACTGGTAAAGTCACGGAGATAGAAACATAATAAAAATAAATAATGATAAAAACAGTCCTGCAACTGTTCTTGCGTTTTGATGTATTTATGCAATTTCTACTTACAGTATTTACTTTATTTATTTGTATTTAGTGACTTGCTTAGCTTTCCTACACTTTTCACTCCTATAGGTTTATGTATTGTTTGTTGTAACTTTCTGACCCGCCCCTACTAGACATTTGTGAAAAAGAGCATCGTAGCTCATCAGATTGTTCCAGTCTAAATAAAAATTAAGATTTTGATTAAATTGGTCCAAGGTTATCGATGCAGTGATATGTTCAGGCAGACCGTACCGTAACTTCAACACCATCATAGCAACCGTAGCACGCTCTGCAGCTCTGACGTTGGTGTGATGCTCTTGAGGAACTTGTTGCCGAGAGGGTATCGTGTGTTGTTATTACATGAACGGAGAATGTTGGGTGCGGTTTTGTAAACATTGTAACCAAGTGTAGCTGTGTTTAAACTGTGCACAGATCAGCGATGGAAAATGGTGCTGTATGAACGACTCCATCGTACAGCTCGTCGACACCAAGGCTGTGATGAGTGAGCAGGCCTACATGCTCTTCTATATTCGGCAAGTCGCCTTCTCTCCCCTCCACTTTGACCTCCACTTACAATCGTCCCCCAGACCAGCTCACTGCACAGATATTGTCTTACGCGAACATCAGCAGCAGTGTCTCCTTTCTAGGCAGTTGAGTTGTTCCGACTAATTTGGAGCTTAGCGGCTTGATGGGTGTCCGGCCAGACAGCTCAGCGGTGGAGCGAGTGGTGGTGTTAACCGCAGTTTGCGATGTGTGGTGCGGGCATTCAGGTCCCCAGAATTGAATGCGCAACCAACGGACAGCTACCGCCCGCTGGAGCACGTCAAGGCGACGTCTAAGTTGTGCATCAAACGTTCCCACTCGGCGATGGAGACCCAGGACCTCGTCACTGAACAGCAGCTCTCTTCACTGGCACGCAAGGTAAAGGATGGTTTTGAAATGTTACCCCACGTGCGTGGAACTGCCCGGGGAGAATGTACACCCTGGCAGTGCATCATTTTACATTACAGGAATGGTGAAGTACAGCAATCTTCTTGTTAATACTTTAGACCCATTTTGGTTTCATTCACTCAATGTCGAGCGGTTTGGACTTGAGCGCCCTCATCTTGTTTATCTGCAGAAATTCAAGATGGCCAACCACCCCAACGGGAACAACTGCCGGAGCAACTGCAAGGGCGACGGCAGAAACAGCGGCAGCAGCTGCTACCGGCAACGCCAGGCACGCAACAGCCGCGGCCGCCGCCCCAAGTCCCAGAGCATCCGCCACCACCCCGATCTCCAAGCAGCCACTGCCAGTCCAACAGCAACCACCGTCACCGCCAGTTCCGCAGCAACCATCGCCAGTCCCGCAGCAGCCAATACCACCACCACCACATGTCTCGAAGAAGTCAGCGCCACAGCAGCCATCGCCAGTCCCGCAGCAGCCGCCACCACCCTCATCTCACAGCAGCCGTCGCCAGTCTTGGAGAATCTGCCATCAGCACCACAGCAGCTACTGCCACCGCCAGTCCTGCAACAGCCACCACCACTACAGCTTGTTTTGAAGAAGCCGTCTCCTCGCAGTCGCTGCCATTCTAACAACAGCCGCCACCACCCCCCAATCTCATAGCAGTTGCCGCTGGTCCAGCAGAAACCACTATCGTCGCCAAATCTACAACAGCCACCGCCTGTCTGGGAGAAGCCGCAGTTAGTACTACAGCAGCTGCCGTCACCGCCTGTCCCCCAGAAGCCACTTCCAACGCCAGTCCAACAGCAGCCACCGCCACTCTGGTCTCACAGCAGCCACCACCGGTGTAACAACTGGCACTCGCCCCACCGATAGTGGTTGGTGCCTGAATTCCACACGATCAAGTGGCTCACCCTTTGCTTCCTCTCAAATTCAAACTAATTTTGAGAGACATTTTAGGAAGGCACCAGGAAGCGGCTCACCATGGCGTCGCCGGTGCCCCAAAATGTACTCATCGCCAGCTCCACCATCAGCACCTGAAATCACTTGAACATCATTGGAATCACCTTGGACTCTACATTCTCACTCGACGACCACATTCTCTACAATAAAGAGTTCCAATTATTACCTCAGGGCCTTATGGCACACCTGTCCAATGCTGACATGGAAAACATTTAAAGAAACTCTAAACTCACAATCCACAACGACTTGAAAAACTCAGCATGAAAGCGCTTAAAATCACGCATGCATTCTGGGAAACAAGAGCCAAGATCCATGCAGCCGACACCAACCCATTACGGCTTGGAGATTCTGTTCATTACGAGATCAATCGTCAAGAGAGTTGGCCCCAGGAACGTTATTGTCATGGTGACCGTAAAATGAACCGTCCCATAACAAATGAAGACAAAAGTTGTGTTCCGCGCAACGTGAGGCTGGAGTGCGGTCTCAGTGAGGTCGTGCAAGGTATTCCCTACGGTTCTTGTCTCTGTTCATTTGAAATGTGGGGCATTATTTTGCGTTGTGTCGGGGATTTAAAAAGTCACCGCTGTTGCAAAGTATTTATTTATTGAACTATGAATACGTCGGCATTTTTTATACTACATATCTGTTAAATCTTTACTTAAAGCTTTCGTGACTGCAGGAATTCATATTCTTTGGGTCTTTCGGTAAAGCCACGTAGATAGAAAAAATAATCAAAATAATAACAATAATCTCTAAACCTTTATATACAGCCTGCCTCGGCAGATTTCCCCCTCTTTTTTCACCTCAAGACGATTGCTTGTGTTGCGATCGAAACGTTGTGATATTGTTATTATTTTGATAATTGTTTCTATCTACGTGGCTTTACCGAAAGACTCAAAGAAGACATATCTGTTACTTTGTTTTTACGTACGGGGCGTGCACATTTCAATGGACACGCTAAACCGTAGCGCCAAAACGTTAACACGTGAAATGTACGGATAAATTATTAACTTTATCAAGCACTTTATTTCCATGGACCATGATGCCTCCAGAAACAGCGGTTTCTGAACTCGTGAATGTAGATCGGTGACAATTCGGTCTCCTCGGGGCTTTTATCGTTTGTACAAAAGCAGCTCAAAGTGTGGGAAGGGAAGCGAGATTAATGTTTTCCAGAGATTTTGTCTACCTCGCTTTGTATTTGCACTTGACATCAATATATACTTGTCGTGATAAACACTGGTCTCGCTTCCATTTCTTACTTTGCCATCGCAGTGTGTGTGTATGTATATGTCTGTGTGTGGGTGTATGTGTGAGTATGGGTGTGGATGTGTGTGCATGTGTTTGTTTATGTGTGCATGTATGTGTTTATGTGTTTATGTGTGTATGTATGTGTGTATGTATGTGCATGTGCTCGCTAACAGTACTTGCCCCAACAGCCTGATTGTCTATACGGGGGTTCTTTGTCTTTGTATGTCTGTGTGTACGTGTTTGTGTGCGTGGATGCGCGTGTGTGTATGAAGAACTTCTTTAGCACCGCACACAGCCAACCGTGCTAATCTGAGGTGTGGGGGAACGACAACAAACTAAACACAAACAGCAGAAGTGGCGTGCAACTAGCACAGGAGTACACTTGTGTACACGTGCACTTGCTTTACTTGTCAGAAACGTGTGTGGGTAAGAGGTCAACACCGCCTTGCTGACCTAATTAAATGTTGAATATAAAAAGTGGATAGAAGGTAAAGGTACAGCCCCTGCGGTTGTTCACGCCACTGCCGGCAAATGGGGCCTCCACGAGAGGGAGCTGCAGAGAGCCCCTGTGAGGGTAATTGGCCTACTCCTCCACACTGGCCAGGAGGTCTTGGAAGAGGAAGTCGTCAAATATGAAGTTAGATAAACCTGCCGCTTACAACATTTGACCGTAACGCGTTTGGTGGCGACGCGCTTCTTGCCGGGCCCAAATCCAGGGCGGCGTGTGAAGAAAAACGGGGCCCAGAGAATGTTGACTCCAGCACTGGGGGGGTGCCGGTACACTGGGGCACTGCTGTGGGTGTGGTTTCTCAATCGCCCAGCCACGTGGAGGAGTAGCCACTGATATGAAACGCAACGCCATCGTCTCATCTAATCAGCCCGTTCACCCGTGAAGCGGTGGCACGGCCCTTAGCTGCCATCAAAGTTCGATTCCCGGCCACGGCTAACGTCGGTGCGGAGTGACATCTGAACAGATATTTGGGCTGCCTCCCCTTCACACCAACTCGTACTGGTGAAGTATGATTAAACACCCCCCACCCCCCCCATTTACTGACATAGAGTGGGGGGCTCTTACCTCCGCTGTGGATTGACAGAGGGCCGCTGTCTAGGCTTAGCCCACGCCAGGATAATCGCAGCATCCCTCTGCAATAGCTCTGCTGTGACACCTGAAGGCACACAAACACACAAGTGGGTGGCCAGGTGAGGGAGGGTCACGTCTCATTCAACGAATAAAAAACGAAAAGGAACCCGCCACGGATATTCACCAAGCGCCAATGAGAGCGTCGTGGCGATGCTGCTCCTGTCAGAAACCCGCCACACGATGCAGTGCGGGCACGAGTTGACAATTTAAACCCCACGCACCCGCTACTTTGCTTGTCAACACCCTCAGCATTAAATGAAACTGCAGAGTTTAGTTTAACATTCAATGATTGTCCTACACTAAGTAGTCATTTAATTATCGTTTAATGAGTCATTCGATTTAACAACGCAAAAAATGTGAAAGATCGTAACTCAAACGCTACAGCTATTGAGAGAGCTATTGTGGAATTCTGTTAAATCCAAGAAAAGTAACTTAATGCCAAATTTTGCATTTTCATAGTAATGGTTTGAAAATTATTTCACACGGTTAATGATGCAACTACTGGCACAGGACAACCGCAGCTCAAGTGTGAACGCCTTCACTATGAGAGGGGTCACCCTGCAGGGTTGAGTAGAGATCTCTATCCCACCCTGTATAGAGCAGTCAACGCGTGTTTAATACTGAGTACTACTCAGTGCACACGGCGGCAAGAGCGCACTTTATGAATGGAATCGGTCATCATTGACGAATGTTGGGGTCTTTTTCGATTTAAAGCTTTCGTGACTGCAGGGATTCAAATTCTAGGTTCTTTCGGTAAAGTCACGTAGAAGGGAAATAATAAAATAATGAAAACAAAACAATACAATTCTCACGACGTTTCGATTGCAACACAAGCAATCATCATCAGGTGTGAAACCCACAGCAAGAAAATTGTGGTTTTCACACCTGATGATGATTGCTCGTGTTGCAATCGAAACGTCGTGAGAATTTAATTGTTTTATTTTTATTACTTTATTATTTTCCTTCTACGTGACTTTACCGAAAGAACCAATAATATGAATCCCTGCAGTCACAAATGCTTTAAATCGAAATTGTTGCGTTTTAGCAAATAGCCCCAGAGTCACCCAGTTCCACTCGATATTCAGCTCGAGTTGGACCGAACATTCGGGTCAGACGGCCACTTGAGAGGGTCGCACGCATCTTCAATGGAGCCTCCATCAAGGCATTGTTGCATTTCCCGATGGGCCAGAGCAGCAACTGATGCCACCCAAAGGTGACGAAACCTTTTAACGTAGCGGCCGTCACGTAATTCACTTTCATCGACCATATCGAGGTGAGCACTGCAGTCAGGATCACGGCAGATGTTCTGTGTACGTGGAGTGGTGGTGCTGTTATTTTTACTGTTATTTTATTTTAACCACCTAAGTCCCACTGAGCTCCATAGCGCTTTTATAAGAAGCGACCTGGCCACAGATGATAGCTCAACAAAGTGGCTTCTCGCGTGGACATTTAGAGCACCAAATATTCTCAACACGTCGACTCTAAATGTGGATGGGAACACCGCAGCACCGGGAGAGAAATCCACGCGACCACGTGGAGAGAGACACCGCAGACTCCACATCTAGAGCAGCAGCAGCAGCAGCAGGCGTCGGGGTCGAACCCACGACCTCCTGCACACCGGGCGAGGTAGTTAACATCTCCTAGCCACCGTGGCGACCCGAAGCCTTCATCCAGCAGTGGACTGCCAACACGGCATGGGGCATCACTGCGGGTCTACAAAGGTACCTGGTTGGAGGATGTGGAGCTGAGTGGACTTGCCGATGAGCGGTACCGGCGGTGTCAAGATCGGCCTCTGTGGAGGAGGAGGCTCGTGAGGGACGCTCACAACAACGAGCGGAGAGGCGGGCGGCTAAAACGCGGCGAGTTGGCACAGCTGGTGGCGTCTGCAGCCATCTCGAGTCGGTCAACCCCATGGCACCTGCAGGGTTCTGCCCCGTGACCTCCTGTCAGCGAGCCTTCGACACTTCGCGTGGCCTAAGAGTGCACCTAGCCTGGCACCAACGCCGCGGGGACGTCACCTGCTGCTGCTGTTGTTGTTGATGCCGCTTGTGTGGACTGTCCTACTGTACGTTGACTTCGATGATTTTCCGTGGGGGAGGTGGGACCAGCGATGGACGAGTCCATGTTGGTGTCTGACAGGGGGGCGAGGGAGCTCCACTTGGACAGACCAGTCCATGTTGGCAGTTGGTGTAGGGGGGGGGGGGATTTGTTGTTCCCTGGGCCACGTGACCTCGTGGTGTGAATGCCCCTCCCTCTCTCTCTCTGTCTCCACGTGACATGTATTAAGACATGTGTATTATTTTGAGAATATCAAAAAAACAGTCATCCCCATAATACATAGTGTTTTATTGGTCGCTCGTCCATTTCACGTCCCACAACTTAACCACTCATATATGTGGATGCCTCTCGACGAGTTATTGCCACAAAATCACAAACATCCCCAAATTCTCTCGGTTTGGAGTCCAAATGTTGTCGCTTATTATATCCCATAAGAAACGTCGCATCGAATCAATGTAATTGAATTCTACTCGCTTGGATGACCGGAATTGAATGGTGAAACTGGTTTTGCTGTGCTGTCTTAAATCAGATATTTGCATGACTGCATGAGTATTATTTTGAGAATTGCAAAAAACAGTCATCCCCATATTACATAGTGTTTTATTGGTCGCTCGTCCATTTCACGTCCCACAGCTTAACCACTCATATATGTGGATGCCTCTCGACGAAGCGAGTTGTCCGGTTTTTTCATTTATTAGGTATAGCCCTGTGAGCCATTCGGCTCTTGAACCGGGTGCAACCGCAACAAACAAAAAAACTAAAACATGAACAAGAAAACATCTTAAAGTGACTTTGCGCAAACAGAAAAATCCAGGAAAAGCACCATACACCAACGCTGTGCAAAGATCCCAGTGGGATGCAAGTCAAACAACAACAACCACTAGACAACTTAGATTAAAGCCATCATTCTATCTCCGTACTACAACAAACAAACATGGCCAAACCAAAAAACGAAATCACTAAAATAAAGCCATCAGCAATGATGGTCATGATTGACACACACGCGCCACAACCAGGGGAGGGGTAGAAACCGGTCCGGACCGGTAGGGCCAACTGCAGTTGGAACCCCTCTGAGGGGAGGGAGGGGCTGGGGGAAGCTACGATCCCCCAGAACCCCGCCCCTCAGGGAGAAATCAAAATATATAAAATCGCGAATCTGTCTGTCTGTGTGTCGCCGGACCATACGCAGTTTTATTGGACGACGGTTGCCCCTGGCAACGGGTAGCGACGCCTTCGCCGCTTTCATTGGACGGCGGTTGCCCCTGGCAACGGGTAGCGACGCCTTCGCCGCGGGGTGGACGCCATTTTTAATTCCCGTTAAAAATAGGCGCACGCATTAACACGCGACTCTGAGGTAAATTCATCAAAGTTTCACGTCCTCTTCACTCCCCCCCCCCCCCACCACAATGTGTGCAATTACTATTATAGGGTCGGTAGATTATAAAATTATAGCGATTAGACAGTATTATTGTAGCGC